TTCCAGCCGAGCGCTGTTTGCGAATGATATACTGCTATCTTCCATATGGCTCGGAGTCTTGGCGGACTAGACCTATGCCACGTATTAACAGTCAGTCGCATTCCCCTGAGAACAGCGGCGCTGGAAGTCCAGCCGATTCAAAACAAGACAAATCAGGGCTTTCACCAATTGGGGTGTCTACACGGTGAAACGAACAAGTTGCCCACCTTGCCCGAAACGTTAACTACCCACCATCTACAGTCGTCGGCCCAGAATTGTCTCGACTCGACGTTGCGCCGCCCGGTGATGATTCAAACTTTCTGGCCCGAACAACACCCAGCCCGAGAGGACCGTCCAGGGAGTTAGTGGTCAACTCTGCTTCGATATATAAAACCACGTTTCGTCCATCGCATGCTTGTCGCGTCCCCATGTTGTATTCAGTTATTCTGTACCCTGGGATCGAACCGTCCTTATTCAACTTGCGTCTTCCCGGCTTAATCGTTAGTCCGACATGCATGCAACTGGCCCACCCCAGTATAAGCGGCTACAGGCTCTGCGGACGGTGTTAGGACTGGAGACCTCGCATGCTGAGACATCTCGCATACAGTGTGTGCAAGACCCTGTCCGGATCGGTGCCGGTAGCTACGCCGTGGGGTCGAAGGACCATGAAATCGCACAGCGTGACGATGACGATCCAGCGGCCGTAAATCAATCCAGTGCAAGCCCCAGCCGAACGGCAGACGGTAGCGAGGGGCCCTATGGCCAGGGACAGGTCTTACCTCTTTAAATGAGTACAATTTCACGAATACTACTCTGAAAAGCAGCGCATGACGAGCTGACCCCTATCTAGACTATCTGAACGGGTGGAGTAAGTGCAACGTCGCAGTTCTCTCGACCAAACTGACGAGAATCAGCGCTTTAGAGGCCAGCTTGAGGGAACAGAAGCAGTGGAACCAGGATTTCGAGGAGACTGTGCACCAAATTCACCAGTCCTTGTTTGGCAGCGGCACTAAAAAGGGTACAACGCACGGCAAGGCTACCAGCTCTTGACAACGAGAATCTCCGCCGGCGCTGGAGGGATAGTTGACTAATGGCGAGTCTCTTCTCCCTGTTCGATCGTGAGTTGACCGGGGAAACCCACCCCTGGACTCTGGTGTAGCTCTGGACAAGACTGGTGAAGGTAGAGAAAATGAAATGTCTTTTGTGAGGGCCTTCTCGAAGACAAATCCCGGAAATAAAAATGGAAGAGTTCAAAGTTGTGCGGGACGTCTATCACAGCAAACAAGCGCTGTACGTTGGAGACAGATACCGTAACAGTCCGTGTGGTTTCCCG